TATTTGGACATATATGAATACAAGTAAGTCTAAAATGCTGTTGTAACTCAGTTTGTTCTATATAATTCATCCTCATAACTGGTTACCATTCTAGCTTTTTTTTTGACGTAATTTTCGAAAGCAAAACGTTTGTATTTTCTTCCATGTTTTCATGAAAACATTGAATGATACTGGAGGAATAACAAATTCACTTGGAATTTCATTGAGAATACCCACATTGGATATTGATTGTCTATCTCAAGTTTTCAGTTGTCTCACACATTAAAAAATTATTTTATACATTTAATACCTTTGTATTAATACCTGTTCTTTTATCAGTGTCATTGGGCAGTCCTCAGCTGGTATAAAGCTGCATGACTTTATTAGGAGGTGAGCTAACTGTGAATATCTTTTGTTGGTGAAAATACCAGATGAACTGTTCTTGTGACCTGTTCAGGTGAATTCTAAAGCAACTATTGCTGTTTTATTGCTTTGCATTTTCTAAATCAGTGTTTTGCCAGTTTTTTAATATTTTTCTCATCTTAAAATGGCCAAAGATGGATTTTTTTTTCCAATTGTTCAATTTTACTTTAATGTCATATAGAAAATAGCCATTCTACATTGCAACATAATATATTTTATATAAAAAATGTACATTATCTTAAATTTGTTTAAATAGTATTATAAACATAACTTTCAAGAAGAGTCAGTTCTGGAGTGATGCAGTCTTTTGTTAATTATAATTCCTTGTGTTATCCCTGCTGTTTGGTAAAGAACCCAGTGTGGATTCTAGAAACATTCTTCTGAACCTCTGAACTTGGTTCTTGTCAAAGCAAAAATTAACTCCCGTATTATTTTTCTTTAATTTGGTCTTCAATGCTTGGCCGGATAAAATCCTGTGTCGAGCTGTCCAGTTGGGGTGTGATTTGACATCATCCGCTTCAGAGCTCGTCTTCATCTGACAAAGCATCAAGATAATCTGTATCAACGTATAAGAGAAATCCAGAAAACAAACTGTCTGCCCATGTGGGATCTGCAAAGAGACCATTTTGGTCAGTATAGAAGATTTCGAGCCATACTTCATCTTCTGGCTGAAGGTAGATCACTGTGGATCCTGAAGCTACATCATGGTTTCCTGTGTTTGCATCAAATGTCTTTATCCGGTACTTCCCATTGTGAACCAGCCCAATTGCAAGATGCTTATTTGCTAAGGTGATATCATAAGAAAAATAATAAATCCCTGGGATGGCACATATAAACTTCCCTGTGGAAGGGTTGTAATGCTCACCCTCATTGAAGAGGACTTTATTGAACACAATCGGTAATCTTTCCTCTGGGTAGCTGGTGGTGATGCCAACAGAAAAGGCGGATTTCAGAACTATCTTTCCGCACTTACAGACCCCTGGTGCACCTGGCTCTCCTCGGTCGCCTTTATCTCCCTTAGGTCCAGGTGGTCCAGCTGGACCTACTTCACCTTTGGCACCAGTCAATCCTCCAGGTCCTTTTTTACCAGACTGACCTTGGTCTCCTTTCTCTCCAGCTGGTCCTAAAGGCCCAGTCTTTCCTCTTAAACCTTCAAAAACATTTTAAGTTAGTTAATGGTTATGTAGATCATCTCAGTAAATGATTGTGTGGGCTATGATGTGTGTCTGAACAAACAAAAAAAACAAGGTCAGAATTTCAAAATATTTCAAAAATACTTTCAAAATGCTGCTGGTAACTTTGTGACAGGAATGGCAAGTTGAAGCAGGGGACTGGACTCCGCAGCCCATGAGTCCTTTCTTTCTATGAGCTTTTCTCATATTCCTTGATTACACTTACTAATTATATATATCTGCAATTTTTAAATAGAATCACTCCCTTGCTAACTGAAGTGGTGATGTTTTGGAAAGTTAGCAGCATAGTAACCTATGATGGTCCTTATGCACAAGATATTTCTTACTATTTGAGCATTTTGCAATGTACCATAGTACTTCTTAATCTTTTATTTCAGGCTAATAGCACAAATTAAACTATTTTTGACACTACTACTGCCACACATATTTCTTTTTTTCCCCCAATCTTTTTGTTAGCATTTATGCAAAGAAAGATTATGTGTTTATATATACTTACATATATTTCAATATGTGTAGATTAGACCTATCTAAATATATATACAAATATTTTATTTTTGTATATATACATGCATACACACAGGCACACAGATGCATGCACACATTCATCTTTTATATATTTATATATGTATATATGTAACAGTGATGATGAAAAATTTCAATTTTTCAGACTACTGCATAAGTTTACATGAATATTCAATACCTGCAGTCCCTTTTTCACCTTTTTCTCCCTTCCTGCCATCTCTACCATCTCTTCCTGGAAGACCAATACGTCCATGTGGCCCTGGGGATCCATTAGCTCCAGGAGGACCTGCAGGGCCTGGCAAACCAGGTATGCTACAAATGTATCTCGTGTAGTAATTTTCTCCTTTGAACTGGCCTTGAAGAGGTTGTTCACTTGTATAAATGGCAAAACTTGTAATGTAAAGCAACACAAACATCTTCGTTATCTGGAAAAAAAATGCATATGTATAAGATAATTTATGCATATTGTAACACTACTTTTTAGGCAGTCCTGAACGTAATTGTAAGTGTAAGTCTACCATGTGTTTTGCACATATACACACACAGGGAGATCAAATTGGGATTTCTGAAATAGCAGCATGAACATTTTGAATCTGTGTATGAAGCAAAGAGGAAAGTTTCTCATGTTACAACTTTTCCAAGTCACTAGTATGTATTACTCTATGTCTTTCAAATAGCCTGTAAAATGACATAGTATACCTGGCAAATACTGGCTTATTTGGACCAAATTTTGACACTTTTTAAAAAGAATGTGGATTTTTCGGTGCAAAGCCCTTTGTTTGCAAGAGTTTATTTTGTCTTTTGTATTTTGTATTTTGACTTGTGTAAGCTTTACTGAGAAAAAGACTCTTCCGGAACGGTGTTGTATCCATCCTTGGAGGATCTGCAAGTAGGAACGATCTTATGTTGAGGACAAAGCTTACACCCTTATTTCCTTCTGAAGCCCTCATGATTGTAAATAATTCTTCAACTTGAATTATTTCTGAAAGCAGAAACTTTCTAGGTCTGTCGAAAGAGACCTACAGGTTCAGTATTTAGTAGTAAACCCTTCTGATCGCAGCACTAGTAACTGCTTCCATCAATCACATAGAATCAGACAGCTGCTCTGCGGGTAATGGATGAAGTGCGAATGAGGTGCTAATGCTACCTCCAATCTGGTTTGGCCTTATATTTTAGTAGCTGTCTGTTTTCATAAACAATTGAATGTAAATTGGATTTCTCTGTTGCCCAATGGGGAGACAAGTGAAAAAAAAAAACCCTCTACAAACAGTAAGCTGCTGAGGAGTTACAGTACCTTATATACAGAGATGTCTTAAATTAGTGTTGTATTAGCAGTGATTCAGTCATAGGTCTGGTGAAATTCTGCAAGTCAAGTTGTTTTTTCTGGTTTTCTCTCTGGACTCTCAGAAATTCTTCGAGGATTTTCTGTTGGAGTTCTCCATTCAGAAACTAACTTCTTCAGAACTAATTTACAGCACGTAAGGAAGTCAAAATCCACTGGTTTCTGTGAGAAGAGGAAGAAGTAGAATGAGGAATTCAGAAAAATCTCTTTTTAAAATACCATCTGCCTTTGCTACAGTGAAACCCAAATTCATTCTCAGAATCGTTAAAGAAGTTGCAAAGTGAGTCAGCCTAGAAAGCCATGTTCCCATTCTCTTCTCTGTTATACCAGCTGGCATTCACTGATAGATTCATTGATTCACTGATTCACGATTAAATTTATTTGCAGTTCATGAAATTTCATACAGTGCATGCCAAGGGCAGATCAGTTTAGCAGAAGAAGATCAGCAATTATATAGATGCATACAAACTCTTTAGCAAAAACCTTTTCTATTTTACAGAATGGAAGGTGAGAGACTGTGTGTTGATATCGACAGCAATGCAGAAAAAAGCATGAAAATATTTTAGCAGCAGAGAAATAAGTGATGTTCCAAAATTATATTCTGCTTTTCATATTAAACATCTTGTATCAAATTGGCACAAAGCAAACTATTAATTTTGCTGTCATTTGATAAAGGCTTACAATACAAGCAGGCACAACAGCCCTCTTAAGAGTGGATTAACATATGAATGCTTACCAGTACCGGAGAGCAGCAAATGGTTACTCCAGGAAAGTAGTTAGTTCAAGCATGAACTTCATAGCAGTATCTGTTCTGATGTACTGAGTGTGTAACCCCAATAAAGCTCGTGGGTTTTCATGCGATCTAAATCAAGGACAACAAACCTTCCTGCATGGGAGAACAATTTTGATCATTCAGCCAGGAGGGAGCAGCCTTGAGGGAGTTCATGCCTTGCACTGCATATACAGATTGCCCAAAGCTGATGGATAAGAAACAAACGCAACCTAAGAATGAAGGGCTGGAACAGAAACTGCCCTTTGCCAGATGAAAGCCTGAACAGTAGGCTCGATATTCCCACACTGTGTTGCTCGTGAGCCAAGCAAAAACAGTATCAACAACTGCTGGTTTTGCCTGTAACCAGAATCTTTTACAAATCAGAGTAAAAGCCCTCACACAGCTGCTCCTGTCACTGCCTGGCCAGTAACTTCTTGTACCCGAAACAAATTAGTCTGGGACGTGTTTCTTCTGCTAAGGCCATGGGAAAAATGTCATGTGGGGAAGGTAAGGAGAATTGGGTTACAGAGAGAGGGTGTACCTTGGACGGCTGGGTGATCGCGGTTGGGGAAACAATTTGGAAGGGGAAAATCATAGCGATTTGGAAAATGAAGAATAAGAGTTGCGGTCTTGGTCTGGAGAGCTGACAAGTATGGCAAGAAGTGATGGGGCTGAGGCAGAAGGGTGGGGACTGCAGGAAGGGGAACAGAGAGGGGATTGGGTTGAAAGGGTGGTAAATGTTCAGGTGATAATGTTTACAGTCTCAAATTTAGGTTGCTGTGGTGGTACCTAAACAAATGGCATTAGACCACAGAGTCAGGACCTCTCTTGCCTCTTGCTTTTCTTCTTACATAATAGTCCAGCTTCAAAAGGAGGGGTGGAATGTCCCTCTCTTCTTTACTACAGCAGTCATTCAAAGCATCTACTGGATGAACATGCTAGTCTGAAGCTCATTGTGCTCATCAGTTTTAGTGAGCAGTGATTTCTGGAGCAGCTTTTCTAAGGGGAGGCTTGATCTGTGCTGTTACTGTCATCATAACACCACCCAAGCAGCAGAATCCCTGCCTTTGGTCCAGGGGCGCCAGGGGTCTTGCCTCAAACCCAAAGATCATCTGAGTCTTTCAACGTGTGTGCTCCTTCCTCCCACCCCCAATGTGTTCTCTCTCCCTCAACCTGATCTCCCTGTAAACAGCATGTAGGTAGGGGCTAACTGTGCATGAGCCAGCTAAATGCAAGTTATGACTATGAATCAGTCATCTCCCCCCCATAGTTAGGGGGAGAGGGGTCCCCAAAGCCCTTGGAACCCTCCTGCACAGCAGTGGGCTGCACTGCGGAGCCGCCTCTGGAGCAGGGGCGACTCTTGAGGTTACTCCCCAAGGCTGAGAGATTCCTTATGCATGACAGATCCTTGGTAAGTGATTAACAGCATGCTAAAACCTTTGGGAAGCTTTGCTAAGTTCTGCCTCTGATTGATTGTGCACATAAACCCTTAGACATCAACCACGGACCAAGTCTGGCAATGGGATTCAATGCAGCTGCCCCCAGGTTCCTCTCAGAACGGATTTGAAGGGCAAGGGAGTCCATTCCAAACCTCAAAACTGAGTCTTTCAACGTGTGTGCTCCTTCCTCCCACCCCCAATGTGTTCTCTCTCCCTCAACCTGATCTCCCTGTAAACAGCATGTAGGTAGGGGCTAACTGTGCATGAGCCAGCTAAATGCAAGTTATGACTATGAATCAGTCATCTCCCCCCCATAGTTAGGGGGAGAGAGGTCCCCAGAGCCCTTGGAACCCTCCTGCACAGCAGTGGGCTGCACTGCGGAGCTGCCTCTGGAGCAGGGGAGACTCTGGAGGTTACTCCCCAAGGCTGAGAGATTCCTTATGCATGACAGATCCTTGGTAAGTGATTAACAGCATGCTAAAACCTTTGGGAAGCTTTGCTAAGTTCTGCCTCTGATCGATTGTGCACATAAACCCTTAGACATAAACCACTGACCAAGTCTGGGAATAGGATTCAATGCAGCTGCCCCCAGCCTCCTCTCAGAAGGGATTTGGAGAGCAAGGGAGTCCATTCCAAACCTCAAAACTCAACAGGAGGGTCTCCCTGACACTTTCAGTTGATCTTGTCCTCCATACAGTGAACAACTGCGTGGACCTTGCCATTAAGCCTCATTAAATCATTCTCTATTTACAATCAAATCACTATCTGACATCAGTAAAACATATTTCTGTTTATGGGAGCAGGGCACCTCACTCATCTATGACACATCAGAAAAATATTTTAAAAGCTATGATGATTCTAATATGTTGTTGCAATCTGTGAACATGACAGACCTGCCTTGAAAAGTGAATCTGTATATTGTGTTGCCATCCTATGTGATGAACAGACTTGAGTATCAAGTCTTTAGGAACTCTCACTGAATTACCAATACACTCAGGCTATGTCATTAACAATTTTTAAGCTTAAGGATTAAGGAATTGTGGTTGGAATTTTCCAACCTTTTGCTTTCTTAGTATATGATCAAATATTCCTCCATTGTTCAGCTATACAGATTGTAATTCTAAAATTCAATCATTGTCATTTTGAAACATTGTAAAATACTTTCGCTGAACCTCTTATAAATAGGAGAGTCAAAATCCAGTGTTTTTTAGTCACAGCTGTATTCTTGTTAGCTTTGATTTCACTGCCTATATATATATATACACAAGCATTTGAGGAGACCAAGAAGACAAGATTTAACCTCTCTGTGCAGGAAGATCACCAGTGTGCAATGTGCAGGTATTTCCCAATTCTCATAACCAGAAAAGCTGTGGTAGAAGAAATGAGGTAGAGAAGACGGTAATATATCAGCATGAGATGCAAAGCCTAAACAATTAGCTTGAAACTTCACAAACTGTTCACAGAAACTTCACAGTTTTTTCCTCCCAAGTTATGATCCACACTTCCTCAAAAACTGCAGTTTTGCCTGCATACTGGGACGAATCTAACCCTGCTACCAAATTTGACACCACCATTGACCCTCTACAAAGTTTCAGAAACAGTAGTCAGCAACTTAGCATTCAAAGCATTGCAGTTTCTTTGCATTTTATGATTTTTATGCTATTTAAAACATCAGCCTTAATTACAGATTTTTCTGTGTGTTTTACATTGAACATTCACTCAGTTGCACACTGGTTTTCAGACCTGCCAAGTTGTTTTGTGTTATGGGGACTGTCCTGGACTTCCAGAGCTTGCCCATTGGACTGTGCCTTATGCTGAAGAATCAAGACCACAGCTGGCCACTGCCACACTCTGTGGGTTAGCTACACAGTCCAGCAATCAGTAAC